AATCTCATATTAATGATTAGTTAAGTTTTCCCATAATCATATCAGCAGGCCTCACGATATCAATGAATTTTACTTAGCCTTAATTCACCTTATGCAATCTAAGGTGACTAAGCTCTTATTAAAGAATTACCGATAGTCTAGAAAACTATTTATATAAAAAATACGGGAAGAGTTTAAAGTCTATTTGCAATTTACAACCCCAAGGATTCTATTCTTTGCTTAAGCATAACTATTAATGATAATGCGATTGCTCATCTTGCCTCTCTTTGCCCAAAATGAGCATTCAACTGTTTGGGATGATTAGATATCCTCATCAGAGCATGCCCAAGGAGGTTCAGTAGACCGTGGTAGTAAAGGCATTCTGACAAACTTTAAAGGGAATATAATAAATTTTACCCGCAGTCACTGCTCAACTGTAGCCCTGCTGCTCTAATTGCCGACAATGCCGCCATGAGGAGAGGCCGTACCAGACACCCCTTCAGTGGTACAATAAAACATCTCATCTGCTTCCACGAACCGGAGGATTGACTGACTGCCTGCGCTGCTGCCGCCTCAACTCTCGGCGCCTGGTGGATGGGCCACTGTTTATTTATTACCCTCAATTAAATTGAACACAGCTCCCACCTACTCCATATATTGGCATTACAGGTCTTGGTCACCAATGCTGTACCTCCAGACGTCCCCACCTCCCACCTGTCTGGGCTGCTCCCAGGCCGAGGGAAGACGCCGGATAATGGATATGTGAACAAGTTGGAGGAGAATGCCTCCTAACCGCCAGCATCCTCCTCTCTCAGTCTGAGGCTACTGGACGAAGCTGGCTGGGAGGTACATCTCCGAGACGCTTGCATTGTTTTTCCTTTAAGACCGCCCGTTCACGCGGCAACATTAGTTCGAGACTCTACAACTGCCCGGAAAGTGCATAGACTGTATCAGTTGCAGGCTGTCTCGTGCCACCCCCAAGACCCACCTTTTAAAGACTCGACCCATCTAATCTTACTAAAGGCTTGTAAGTTATTTTCCTACAATAAATTTAGGAGAAGTTCTCACGATGCCAGTTACTTTTACTTGGCCTTGCCGTCGAAAAGGCCTTATAAGCTAGGCTAGAATAGCTCAATGCCCTCATCAGCACCCTCAACGGAATGCGAAACGGACTTGTGCCGGTCAAGCTATAACAGGCTACCACTAGCCTTTAAATATAATGGCTCTACTCCATACAAAGTGAGTAGTTGTCAAAACCATACTAACCAAATCACTTTATACTTGATCAAAGAGGCCAGATGTAGAGTATGTTACCACTTTTTATGGAGTTGCCGGTGAGTTTTTTTATTCGTTAGCTTGAATTTCGTTGTGACGATGATACCTTGCTCTGATGATGTCCGTAACATGACGGACTAAAGCTTTGCACCTTTTCACTGGAATCGAATGAGATTACCTCGGAAACAGCGTCAGCATGAATGTCCAGCAAAGCCAATCAACAGTTGGTCAAGAGGCATCCGCCGTCGTCTTGTGGTGGAATCGAACTTCGAATCTCTTAACACAACACTTTCACTCGAAATGGAAGTAAGCTCAACAATTATGAAACAAGAGATTCCTTAAAACCCAACTTTGCTTCGCATATATTACTTTGTCATAGACAAATACTACTCAAATCTTCATTATCCCGATTGTCGACAATCCCAGGGGTAGAAGAGAGTTTGGCGTGATCAGCACCCCACGTGGGCCATTCTAGTTTCTAGGTAATATCTTTTAAATGAGACAAATACGAATATTACTTTTAGCGTCAAAGGCCCTTTAATTAACAGAATAAATGGTTCAGTTGATAAGCAGCAACGATAGCATCCTGCAATCGCCAAGTAGACATCGCACAAATTTCTTGTACCCAATGAGCTGTCTACAAACGGATGGCAAACCGGCTAGTAGTACCTGCCTGACGATAGAAGGAAGCTTTGGGATGTAGATCAAAGACGGGAGTCGCCGAAAGCTCTGGCCTGCTATAGCCTCGACAAAAGCGGTAGATGGTGAATTTCAGTAAAAATTCTTTAGGGCTCATGAGGCTACGAAATTATCACCTTAAGCGACCCAAGTAACAATTAGTTTTTGAAGAAGATCAAGAGACTATTTCGAATTGACATATTGTCTTGTAGACAGCAGCCCCGCTTAAGTGTGAGCATAAAAAGTCTGAATTGCCATAACATTCATAACTACCCTGTGAGTTGCTGTAGCCCAGAAACATTTGAGTGAGGGCCAAACTGTAGCTGATTAAAGAGCACTAAATTGTTATAATCTCGTTAGTCTTGTCTCTGCGACCAGTCAAGACGAAGTACAATTAAGTCACATCGAGAGGTATTGAGAAAAAAGCTTAAATAAGTTTAAGCAAACTAGGCTGACTAAATTCTTCGTTTTTGAATAGGGCTTTGAGGCTACTAGTAAATCAGATGTATTCAACCTATTTCGTTTAAGGTGATTAAGGACTGGTAGTTGAATTTATCCATAATGGCATGAGTAGGGCTAACGCTTCCATTGAATTTCGCATAGCCTTGCTTTCGCAAAAGGTATTCTTATACTACTGTTTCGACCTCGCCTAGGTCTTATCGACACCCCCAAAGGGACTCAAAACATGAAAGTGCAGCCTGTAATCTCAACACGTTAGCCATTCTATCTCGTTGCCGCGAGTTCTCGTGGGTCACAGGGCAGACGTGAATTCTAAGGATAACCAGCGGGTGGGATTATCGATTAAGCAAAGTTATATTTGCTAAAGCATTCGACTCTTCCACTTATCTTTCGTTTATAAATAGTGTTTCGAGACTACCAGTAAGTCAGTTGTATGAGGTGTGTTCACTCTATATCGTTTTAATTTTCGAAACCCTACTTATAAAAAAAATAAGTAATTTCCTCAATTGTTATATCAAATATAACTTTGCCCTATCGACACTCCAAACAAAGAATATGATATGGAGAAATTCCTGGCCTTTCTTAAAATTCGCTTCTGCCCTGCGCTTGCGGAAATGTGGTGAGTACTTAACATGTCGAGCTTATACCCAACACTGTTATGGGTCAACTCCTGCTTGGGGTGTTGAGTATACCTATAAGAGATCGAAACTGCAGTCTAATATGGGGAATAACCCCTTTTGAGAAAACAAGGCTATGTGAAATTCAATGGAAAATATCAGCTCTACTCATATCATTGTGGGAAAATTCAACTATCAGCCCTTCATCACTTTAAACAAAATATGGTGAAAGCAACTCACATATCTGATTTACTGGTAGTCTCGAAAACCTACTCGCTCACGAAAAAAGTAGTCGTCGATGGCTTTAGCAAATATAATTTTGCTTCCCAACACAATATGATATGGAAAATCCATGGCATTACTTGAAAATTAGATCTGATCTGTGACCCAATTGCACTCGTGGCAATATGGTCAGCTTACACACAACATTGTCATGGTTCGTCTCCAGCTAGAGCGGTGCTGATAAAACTTAGACAATGTCAACACTGCAGTCCATCCTGTGCGAAAACACCTTTTTTGGGAGAGCAGGATGTATAAATTTTAATGAGTGTCAGCTCTACTACTATCACCGTGGGAAAATTCAACCACCAGTCTTTCATCGCCTTAAACGAAATAGAGTTAATATATCTCATATGTCTAAATTCTTATTTAAGTCTGACTGAAAATCTCAATAGCTACTCAAATTGAATATAAGTATCATCATCGACAGAAACATGTGTACTTTGTCAACAATTTCGCTATAAATGTTATTTCGGCTAGGTCTGGTTTGACTTGAAGATCACATCCGCCCTGTGGCCCAGTGACATCTGTGGCTGTGTAGTGGAATGGTAATATCGTCACGATACTCACGACCCGGTATCAAATCCCATTAGGTGTAGTCTCGAGACCCAGGCGAGGTAGAAACTGGAGACCAACCTTGATCTGTTGGCCTTCCGGGAAATAGAGCTAAGTAAAATGCACTGGGATCTTGGAACATTCTATTTCTTAGATCTTGAGAAACCAAACTATTAGTGATAGCTTTAGTGCCTACTCAATTGTATGAACTAAAATTTCAAGTTGCTGAAACCAAATTGCTGCAACCAATCTCAAACTCGTCTTAGCAAGGACGAACTGCAAGGCTATTTAGTACAAACTAAAAAAATCCTTTGGCGGATAACGCAC